AACCTCAACAATAAGAGTTTTCAGCTTTTGAACTGATTGAAGATTTTTCTCAACAAAAAAAAAAAAGAAAAGAAAAAAAAAAGAAAAATTAGAAACTACTAATTTACTATTCAAAAGTCGTAATTTTCAGAAAATTTTACTGCTTTTAATTACTTGATTTAGAGCCTTAAAATTTTGTAGCTTTGAGAGATATCTTGCTGTTTTAGAAGTAGGAGCAGGAAAATGATTTTGCTGAATTGTTTCTAATGTTTTTTTTTTTTTTTCATTTTTTGATTTGGCTGATTGGTGAACGGAGATAAAAGAAGGATTTGGGATTTGAATATGACATCCGACCAGTGTGTTGCATGTGGCTTGAGTGCTGGTTGAAACAAATCAAAGGAATGTCAGATTTGCAGTTATACGAGGTAAGAATTTCTGTATTCCTCGATGGGTGTAGCTGAGTTTAAATTGCTATTATTATTATTTGATGCCGTTTTAACTTTGTTCGTTGTTCATTGTTCTTCTTACTGGCTAGCGAGTGACTACGTTGAATTTGCGTTAGTTTGGTGTGCCCCCAAGATTAGATTCATTTCAATCTGTATAGGTTTACTTTGATGACAAGTGATTGGGGAAATGGAGAAGTTGGATACTTTGAACACATTGAATGTGATTAAGATGTTAAATAGTTGCCTTTCTTTACCATTTAATTCTGTTTTACGTAATTTTATTAGAGGAAAATTGACATTAGGATCAACTGCTGTTCATGAAATTCAATTTGTCCTTGGCACCCTCAGAAAGAGGTATACTGTAAATCGTACTGAAAGTGCAGCATTATCTTGTTCATTGTCCTCCATTTGCTATTCTTTACATAAGAAGAGGATGGCAATCACTACAGTGAATAGCATCAAAGACGCCACTAGGAAACGGAAGCCTCCGAGTTCCGAAGAAATTTTGTCAAACAATGTAGTCCTCCTTTTTCCTTAGCTGATATGTTCCCTGTATCAATTTTCTTTCATGCTTCGGAAGTAGCTTAGATTCCCTTTCCTCAATGAGAAGTAATAAGTGGACAGTTAACAGAGAGTTCGGTGATCTCTTTTCATTTGCTTAAGCAATGTGGGCAAAGTCACGCCGTATCTCTTCTTTTTTAAAAAAAAAAGGAGGTTACCCCGTACTTGTACCAATAGGAGGATGCATGTACCTGGTGGAATAGTCGAGGTGCTCATAAACTGGCTTGGACACCACCATTTTATTAAAGTTTCTGTTATCTTAGTAAGCTGCCTTTGCTTCTTTTGTAACATTATTTTTTCGCTGGTGAATCTTAGCTAGTCATTTCATCCTTTGGTGATCTCAACCTATATCCTTGTAAGAGACCAAGAGCATTCTACCATTATCTGTGCTTTGTCATTTCCTCATACTACAAAATTTAAATTCTAGTTTTGATTTGCTCATTTTATGGAAGTATACTCTGCCGTTCTTACAGCTAAAATTCTGTAACTGGTGTTACAGCTTGAAGATATATCTTGGGATGAGTTCTGCCACAGCGATGATCATATAGTGCCACATCCAAGTAGTGCACACACCGATGAACCACTCTCCCAGAATGATAGCCGTAAGAAACCTCGCCATGAAGTAATTAGTTTAACAAGTAACATAGGCGATCAATCTACTGGTAAATATGCTAATCAGCAAAACGAGCAAATACTTCCTCTATTGAGTAATAAAAACACCAAAATGCTGGAAAAGGACCTCTGGGCCGATGCACCTGATGGTGCCAAAGTCGAAGATGTTTCACCAGCTGAAAATACCAGGACATCCAGTCGTTGCATCGAGAGTAATAATGTAAACTCAATTGAGAGCAAGTCCTGTCCTAATGGTCGCCCTCTGGATAACAAGAATGCTGCTGTGGGGGGAAACACATATAGCTATCCAGTTGGTCCCATTCCTCAGGCTGATGATGATCTCAGCTTTTTGGACAATAGTTGCGAGGGTAAAGACTCTAATGATCTCTTATACTATAGCTGGCCTGAGATAGAGAATTTTGATGATGTTGACAGGATGTTCAGGTAATTGCTTTCTTCATTTCAGTCAAATGGACTTTATTCATCCTTTTATCCTTTTTAGGGGGTTAGATGTGAACAAAATTAAAAAAAAAACCATTTCTACCTATGACATCTATGTCAGCTTTTGATGTGAATGTAGAAAAAATGAATAGTCTGTTTAAAAATACTAACAATGCTAATTTATTTCAGGAGTTGTGATTCAACATTTGGATTTGGACCTGGTAGTGAAGATGACCTAGGTTGGCTTTCATCATCAGATGTCATTGATGGATCTGGAGATGGATTGACGTCAGCTTTTAAGTTTCCATGTCCAGCATCCACTGCACTTGGAAGTACATTTGCAAGTCATGAAACTTCAAAGCTAAAGGAAACAAACATTTCAACTAATACTTCTGTCACTAAAAATCAATCACTTGGCTATAANTGCCAGCGGATCATTGATTAGCGAGGGAACAAACAAGTATGGATCCTTTCTCAGCATCTACATTTATATGCATTAGTTGCTGAATAGCGTGTTGTCTTGGCTCTCTCATATTACTTCTCCTGTATTGTCTTTTTTCTTTTGTGTGTTAATTAATCATCTGGTATTAGTTTATATAGTTGATTGGTTGTTTAAGTTCGACATCATTGTTGAGCTTGGTTTTTCTTAGTTCAACGATGGCATTGTTAAACTATATATGTTGCCTCTTTTTTTTTGGATTAATTAATCATCTGGTATTAGTTTATATAGTTGATTGGTTGTTTAATTTTGACATCATTGTTGAGCTTGGCTTTGCTTAGTTCAACGATGGCATGTTCGGCGAGTTGTTGAATAATAACCTAACTTTAAGTTGTAGCATCCTAATTTAAATCTAGTACTTCTGTGCAGATGTTTGTCGATTGAGTCATATTTTGCTACAAAAGAGCTTGTCTATACAAGTTTATTCGTTGAGATTAGCCATTGGCCAGGTAAAATTAATTGTATGGAGTGGAATTATACTAGTACTACCCGTCTTATAAAAAAAATTGTACTAGTTCTACACGTAGAACATCAATAATGAAAATCAAAGAAAAAGTCACTAAACAACTAAAACGGTAATTTTGGATGAATCCCTTGTGGTTTCCATACGCTGCAGCTCCTGTTGGTGATAGGCAGATAGTCTCCTCCAATATCTTCTTGCTCTCTTCCTAAAACGAGCCGAAGCAGGTTTTTCCGTGCTAGAGATAATCGCTTGAGTAGACAGACAGGGTCGATCTCAGAAGATGTGGATGAATCAATACTTCATAAACTGTACAGGAAGAAAGTGATACTGGAACAGAAAGTTGATGTTTCTGAACAGACAGACAGGGTCGATACTGGAACGGCATTCTTCTTTGAATGCTCAAATTTGGTGCTAAGAATAAGATCTTTAAACTATTAGTGTTCTTGACTTCTACCTAAAAATCCTGAAATTTGGATTTAGTTCACATATTTAACAGCAGAAGCGAGGATTTAGCTCAGTAAGAGTGGTATATTCAACATATCAACTGTACAATATAAATGTGGTAGATAAAGTTATGTATCACTTGATTGTTATCATTCCCTATATGAACTGTAGAACATAAATACATACATAAACTTACCTAAAGGATTGATCAATGGCATACAAAATACATAATAAAGTGAAGATAATATTTGATGAGTTTTATGCATGACATGTGTCTCAATTGACAGGATGGTACTGCAGGAGTGTATGTATTCTGCCAAAATACGTTGGTTGTTTTTCTTATTATAAGTCATCGATTTATTAAATGTCAAAAAGTACTGTTGGTTAAGAAAGAGGGATACTATGTCAAGTCAGAAATGATACTTTAAAAAGCAAATCGGGCAGGGGTGCTGGGTTCCTGTGTGAAGCTGGTGAACAACACATGTAACAGATTCTCTCTCTTTTTTGACATCACTTTTTGGTCAGTAACATCGAAGGGGTTGTATTTCAGGTCCACAGGATATATGGACATCGAAACAGACACGAACCCTATAGATCGATCTATTGCACATTTGCTGTTCCACAGGCCTTCAGATTCATCTGTAACCCCTGCCCGTGACTCCTTGACTTTGAAGTCGCCTTCCTTGGTAGGTTTCTCTTACTTCCAATATTCATATTTAACTGTCTGCAAGATGAAATCTTATCCTCAAAAGAATCAATGGCAGATTCATAGGTCATTGTCTAGCTCGCCAGTGATGGGTGAGAACTTGATTTCTCATGGAGAAATTGCACCTCAAACAGATAGAACTGATCATTGACCATAACTATTTAAGAAGCAAATGCTGGTGTCTGCTCTCAATCCTTTTGGGAGGTCACGTACAGTATCAAGATCTCTTACAAGGAACCTTTATGTTTTAAGTGTTTTAAGGGGGACCCCGGTTTCTGGTCCATGTTAGACCATATCGTTGTATGAGCTTTCAAAATCAGGTTATTTTTGTTTCCTTCTATCCCATCTGTAGTGACTGTAACCCTTCTACACTTGGAAGGCATACAAAAACAACCATTCTTGTGTATACGTAGAGTGGACCAACTGACTCTTTTTGTTGTCTGTATGTAAGTAGATAATACCTGGAAAGTTTCCATAAAGTCATAAACTGATATTTGCAAGTCCAGAAGGTGCTCCGACCTGTCGTTTATCTTTGGTTTTATGGTTCTTTTCCCTTCTTTTTTTTCCCCTTTAAACCTAATTCAAAATTTAATTCACCACGGTATTGCTCTCTATGCTATATAATTCTCAATACAAGATAGATCATCTTCAGATGCTTATAAAGATATAGAATTACGTTACATTTTCTCATATATTGGCACAAATGAGTAGTTGTAGAACAGTACTTCAAAAGAGAGGTGAGTGGTGACAGATACTTCATTACTTATTCTGAACAGCTGCTGCTCCTACAATTTTGTTAACAAAAGGTGATTGGTGAGATGTAGTTAGATGGGATGAGGGCTTGGCTGGGGAATTGGGCCAAATAAATGCACCCATAGCAAATTTTCGCTTGTTAGCCAAGTCGCCATCAGCAGGTAAACCATATTCAGCAAGAAGCCTGTCTATCATCCACTCGGGCATGTGCTGATAGTCCTCTTTGGTGTACTTTGGATAGTGCAGAGGCATCTGGAAGTTGCTACTGCAATTCTTTTTCTTACTATCCATCACGTTCTATCTCGCCCGTTAATGTATATGCTACCCTTGGCTGATTTCAACTAAATGTGAAAGTAATGTTATATAAGCATGTTGAATATCACAGGAATGGAGTGATGTACCTTCTCACGCCATCCATTAATTGGAACCTCGTGTGCTTTCAATCTTGAAATATCATGTATGTGGGCATGTGTGTGTCTCTGCGGGAGAGAGAATTAAAGGTAGCTAAAAGTGTATGAAGCCATGAACTGACTTCTCAATGTTCATGTATATGGGCTTTTACAATTCTTTCTACTAGGGGTGTACATAGTTTGGGTTGGTTCGGATTTTACAATTACCAAACCAAACCAATTGTGCCGGGTTATTAAATCTAAAGATCAAACTAAACCAATAAAACTCGGATTTTTCTCGGGTTTTCTGGTTATTTGGATTTTTTCGGATTTTTTTCCGGTAAAATCTTCGTAGAACAAAACATATAACTTGTGTTCAAAATATTTCTTTAATCATAGTAAGATATAACTATATAAAGTATTTTAAAAAAAATAATACAAAATATGAGATGTGCCATAGCATTATCCTAAAATATTCAACAATAAAGACAATAAAATTATGTAATATAAATATTGCTAATTAAAAAGTTATAATAAAAATAAACATAATCTAAAAGTATTAAGTCATGCTAAAATAAGTAGACTAATAGGGGAGTATTAATTACATGACTAAACGCTAAAGAAAAAATAAAAATAGGTTATGCATTTTTATCTAAATTATTGCAAAATAAAACATAGATATTCAATACATTCCCGTTCGTAGTATTGAATTGAATGTCTTTTGTTAGCATTAGTACTGATTTGATTTTGATTTGGGCTTTTGTTAGCATTATTCAATGGATTAGTTACCTCCTATAGCAAAGGTTGATACCTTATTTATTTTAAATAAATACCAATTTAAAAAATCATATTCCATAGCTACCTTTTGATTTTTTATAGCCAAATATATATTTATGATTAGGTGTGTTCACGGTTCGGTTTGGCCGGTTTTTGATTAAAACCAAAACCAAACCAATTTAATCTGTTTTTAAAATTTTAAAACCAAAACCAAACCAAATTACATACAAACCATCGGTTTGGTTGTTGTTGGTTTGGTTCGGTTTGGTTCTATTTTTCGGTTCCTAGTAAGCTAATGATAAGTCGATAATAGTAAAACAACACTAGACAACAATCTGAAAATAATTTGCTAAATTTATGCTTTTTTATATATATTTATTTCGGAACTGAAAGTTTATTTACCTGTTTATACGAAAAAAATGAACAAAAAACAAACTAAAAGTTTACTTTCTCAAGCTTTAGCTACTATAGTCTTGCAATTTGAGTTTACTTTCTTTACTCTTGTCGTAGATTTTTTTTTTAACTCTTTTATTAGAAAAAAGTATGTGTGTAGGTTAGAGAATTAGATTCTCTTAAGGAAAAGAAAATTGGCCGATTCCTATTCTTTTGGGCTTAGACATTTTTTTAAGATATAAGTAGGATAAATCAAAATTCAAAATAATAATTAAAATGCGTAAAGTATTTAAAATTATTTACGAAAAGATATTATATCATATATCAATAATTATTCATATTTTTATATAATTAATCGGTTCGGTTCGATTTTTCGGTTTTTTATAATAGAACCAAAACCAAATCAAATTTTATCGATTTTTAAAATTTAAAACCAAAACCAATCCAAATCAAGAAAAATATCGGTTTATTTAATCAGTTTGGTTCGATTTTCGGTTTGGATCGGTTCTCTGTCAAACCGTGAACAACCCTATTTATGATCACCTCCTAGCCTTAAGCCATAAAATAAACTTTGTATTACTTTTCTCTTTCATATCCCCTCAAATTTCTCCTAACCCTACCCCATATCTATTCTCCCCCCTCTCTCTACTTCCCATGTCTTTTCCTCCGCTGGACCTTTCTACTGTGAAATAATATTTTGTCAGCTTTCTGCAATTTTATTCGGCTCACCTGCATTTTTGTCTTGATTATATTCTCTGTCTCCAGCTTAATATTGTCCGTTACAACTTTGGGTTAAGATATTTGGCCAAAGGAGAATCTAGTGATTTGCACAATGTTAAGATTGTCATCTCTTTAACATACTTGAAGAATCATTTAGAATGTTGCTTTGATAAGCTTTTCAAACTTTATGTTAAAGAATGCAAAGGTTTTGGAGAAGTCTCCGTTATTTCGCCGGTAATTACGTGCTAATCGTCGGCAACCGAAGGCAACGGTGACGGCGAGCGAGGACTGGATACTGATGCTGCTTTAACGAGACGACATTAGGGTTGTTCTTGAACAAAGACGACGTTGGGGGTTGAGCAACTTGAATTTTCTGTTAATATATTTCAATGTATCTCGCTGTATTTCATTGTATTCATTGTCTTTTTTTAATTGTATTTCAATGTATCTTGCTGTATTTTATGTATTTCATTGTATTCACTGTCTTTTTTTCATTGTATTTCAATGTATCCCGTTGTATCCTATGTATTTTATTGTATTCACTATCTCGCTATATGCCATGAATGTATTCATATGTTTTTTTTAATTAATATAATTTATGTATTCAGATGTATTATACAAGTTTTCTGAAGATTGTTATGTTTTTGGGGTATTTTTCGGTTAAGAATCTTTTTTATAACTGAAAATACAAAATTTGTGTGTTATAATTGAGTTTGTTGAGTTATATTAGGAGTTTATTATATTAGTTGATTCACTTTCCTTTTTAAAAATAGTGTAATCCCCTATTTCACGCCGTGAATACAGTCGAATACAGTAATCTGTCCAGCTGTAATCCCATGTTTGACTCCATGAATACAGTCGAATACACTCGAATATAACAACTGGTTAGTTGGACTTCCCTGATTCACACCTATTTTTGCTACTGTATTCATGAATACAATAGCTTAA